GAGTTTCACATCACAGCATGCCAGGTTTATGTAAGTACCACTTCGAAGTTGCATGGTTTTTTTTTTTTAACTGCGACTCACCCGGTTTGTATGCCAAAGCATTACAGGATGAAAATGCATCATGTGAATTGTAGACTGCGGTAATAACGATAGGTATATTGCGATTCTCATCCTGAAAAGCTGCTGTTCGGATTAGATTTCATGGACTGATTTGTTACCGCACTGCATGCATTATAAAAATTTTGCAGAGTTGGAAGCGAGTTTCGACTCGCTGATGCGGGATAAGAACTTACGGCGGGCTATCAGAAAAATGAGCGATCCATTTGCGATGATTATGCTAAACAAGTACGCGCTGGAAGTCACACTCAACTGGCTTTGCAATACGGAGCAGATGCTCGACGTACATAACCGTACGCTGTTTTTTACACTTGATGGCGTGGCTCGAGATGGGCTGCTTTCTCGCTATCCGAATCTGAATACTGTTACAAAGCACATTCCGTGCCTGCAGGTTTGCTTTCTTCTAAGCCTTTCACTCGGATTTTCCAGGGCTTTTATTCTCCGGAATTCAAAATATTCCTCGTTGCGTCAGTCTTTTTTCGAACGAAAAAATTTATTTTGCATAAAAAATTTCTCGCTGACTTCAGGAAACATTCGCACCCATGGATTCAACATATATGAGCTTTTTCGTTCTACGGACCAATCTAATAAGGACAATTATAAATTATGCGCGTTCGATCTGGTTGCTGCAAGCAGACACCTTTTGGAGAGAAAATTTATTTAACGTACCGATAATCACTGACCAGGCAGCGAAAGTGTTTCTGGACCAAGATGGTTTGCTCTTCTGATTCATGTTGTGCGAACGGTGCGATTTAAGAATGAAAGTGGATAAAATGAAGAATTGCTCTTCAGTTACTTCCTGTGCTAGCGGGTGAGAATACAGAACACAGTAGAATGTTTCAACCAAAATCAAATTTGGAACGTTCCCACGCAATCACTGTAAAGCTTGGGTAAACTGAACTGTAAGTGAAATTTGGCTCTGGCATTTGACGATGAGCTGTAGGATCGGCCGTTTCACAGCACAAAACATTTCCGATGTTATAGTGCCCCTATTAAAAGGAGATTTAAAAGAAGAAAAACGAAGAGTGTCTGAGAAGAGCCATTTAAGCTAAAATATCGTAAAAATTAAGGAATTATCGAATCCGATAAATTAGAATGCACAACCGAATATTCATTCAAACAGTTTTCAGAATTCTAGATGTTGTCTTCTTAAACCGTTATAAATCGCCATATTATTGTGCATACTGAATCCATATTACTGTGCAAGAAACAAAACTTTTGGTCCCAAGACGCATTGAGGGAGCTGCAACATTATAGTATTAAATGGGTGATGTTTGCTAGGGGAATTTGAAGCAGTACAGGAACTCACACGAGTTAACTTTCTTATTTCTCTAGTTATCTCCAACTCTGACGTAGAGGTGAAACACCAAGCTAGAACAGCACATGATGCGTTTAACACGAAATGCTAGCCAAATAACAGAAAAAAGGCAAACTCAGCAAATTCGAAGCGATGTCAGTACCCTATCATATACGAAGACAGTGAATCTACAGATGTATTAAAGGTTGTTTTCAGAACTCTCGTCTGTTCCTTTGTGCGCCTTTAGGTTACGACGGAGTAGCAGAATCTAGAAAAGAATCAATGAATGGTGCCAACTTTTTCGTTTCAAAGTCAGCAGCTGATTTGATCAATGACCTCTATTGGTACCAGAGTCGTTTCTACGTAACTGATCCGGATGCAATGAGAATCGTTTGTCGGAAAGGAATAGCACCATCCGGATGTCGTTTCATCCATCACAGGTACCATCACTTACTTTTAGATCCGAAGTATCAGTTGCGATAATTTGGCTCCTTTTACCATTTTTGCTCATAAAGGATTTTTCTTTGCTTCAAAGCTACGGTTAAAAAAAATATGTTTAACGCTCCCGAAGACCCGCTTAAGGCTCTTTTCACCCCCTTCCCCCCCCCCC